CTGGAGGCAAAACTCAGCTTGTCTGAGTCTTATACTAGAACTTAAACAAATGATAATACTGCAGGTGAATAGCACATCTCATGAAAAAACTGGAATATTAGCATTACATCAAGAAGTGAAAGATCATTGTTACAAGTTAACTGTTGCTCAGTAGAGAACCTTTGCGTTAGTAAAGGCATGACATTTATTGCCGATTAATCGTGTCAATGTTGAGTGTAGGTTGGTAGTTTTAAAGTACCCCCCTCCCCCCAAATTTTAGCAGGCAAGCAAATTTCTAGCCTCTTTAAAACACTTATTTAGTTCTCTTTCTAAACGGTATAAAGTTAAACTTTATTAAAATTAAAGTCCAATTGTCTTGAATTCTGGGTTAATTTAGTGGAATTAAATAAAAATCAGATCAACTAAAATGTATTATATATATTTTTATATAGATAGTGTTTGTGTGAATGTGCAAATAAATGTGTGTATGAATATGTTTATTGATCATAAGGTTGTTTACCAATATAAGCATTCATTTATTCTTAGACTGGTATTGTGTTGTTTTTCAAGCATGTGATGTCCTTGCGTAATTTAAAATAATCTTTGAAAATTACTTGCTGGAGCTTTTCAGAACACACCAGGAGACTAATATTTCCTCTGTTGAGTAAAAGTATAAATTGGGTAAGCTCTGGCTCATTGATTCCCTGGCAGATGGTCTTGTTCGTAACTCTTTGAGTAGTAGACTGCCAGTACCTGCCCATCCAGGCCAGCCTGAGTCTGGCTGATGGTTTCCAACGTTACTGTTCTAGGCATTTTAGTCTTTCAGTTGAAGAGGCGGCCACCAGACTACATCCCAAAGAAAACAAAGAAACATCTGGAAGGGAAGCCATTGAAGGGGAAGGAGAGAGCTGATGCTGCTGGCTATGGCTCTGCCCTTCCCCCCGAAAAACTGCCGTATTTAGTGGAGTTAAGCCCAGGTGAGAAAGCTGGTCATACTGGGAAATATAATAATATGCGTTTTTTAGCTGTAAATGCTTGTACTTTTTAATGCATCTTGTTTAGTTGGCCTTTCTATTGTCTGACTTAACGTTTTTAGACCATTTTTTAAATAAAGGTAACCCTCATAAGATGACATTTAAATAAAAACTAAAGGTTATAGAATATGTACATTTATGCACAAAAATAAAGTTCACGTGGACAAAAATGAATAGTAAGAAACAAAATTAAAATACTGTATAGAGAGTTTTAGGAGAGTTTAAAATGATCCTTTCACTTCAAAAAAAATTTTCCCAAGATAACTTTAGTAAAATAATTAATGTACTAAAAATGACAAACTGAAATTTACCCCCTCCTAGGACAGATTTAGTAGAGGCGCATGTGTGTGTGAATGTGTATGTGTGTAAAATCATACTATTGTTTCTAATGTATGAACGATTTCTAAAAAGAATAAATTTTATAGTACATCTAAGAATTCCATCTGAATGAGAGGAAGGCTATTTGATTATAAAATAACTGTTTATATTAGTCCTCTAAATATTTTGATTTTAGAACTCTGAAAAGCTAAAGCTGTTGTCTCAGCTTAGCCATCAGGTAGAGAAATCCATTGATGTTCTTAAAGAAATGTTTTATTTATAGTACATCTAAGAAATCCATCTGAATGAGAGGAAGGCTATTTGATTATAAAATAACTGTTTATATTAGTCCTCTAAATATTTTGTTTTTAGAACTCTCAAAAGCTAAAGCTGTTGTCTCAGCTTAGCCATCAGGTAGAGAAATCCATTGATGTTCTTAAAGAAATGTTTTATTTATATACATATACATCCCTGTGTAGTGTATGTATTTGTGTATGTGTTTGCTATATATGACATACTTATCATTCAGCTAAAATTATGTCATTTCTTAAAATAGTGCTGCATGACCTGCATTGTAAAATACTCTGAGGATCAGAGTATTATGCCTCTTTCTAAACTGCATTTGAATAAAGCTCAATTAGTAATCATAGAAAAAATTAGCAGAAAAATGAACCAGTTATGCAGATAAAATATGGTTGCATAGGCATGAATGATGTTTTTTCTTTTTTTTTTTGAGCATTTATTTTTATTTACAAGGTTCATTTAGTTTATTGTAGCTATGTTATACTTAAGCAGTGATTAGATATGGTATTTGTTGTCTAGCAGTCTCATGGTACTGCTAGGGCGCCTTGATACAGGAAGTGACGGTGGTGTTTTGGTAGTACTCTGAGTTACAGTTGGTGGCAGTGTGGCTTTTGATGGTGGTTTTTATACTTACTTATGTTCGAGGACTTTTTTTAATTTATTAGCTGTTTGCGAGGAATATATTAGTATTGCTTTGTCCCTCAGTTCTCTGGCTGGAAAGTTCACTTGAAGTTTGGGAATATGTCCTAGTGTTGTTGCTGTGTGTCCGCAGTGTCTGGGAGATCACTGGTACATGGTCATCTGAGGTGATGGACGGCAATAGGGAGGCAGCTGTTCGTTTTTGAACTAAAAAGTTTTTAGGATCTTTTTTGGGCGTTGAGTCTGCCCTTTAAAATTTTTACATTAAATGCTGGAAACTAACAATTGTTTACTCCAAATCCGTATTTTTGAGGATTCAAGGGTGTTAACTCTCAGAGAAATTGATAAATAGCAGCCAACAAAATAATTTTCAAATGAGTAATAGGAAGTTTATTTTGGTGGATAGCAGAGACAGGATGACCATTCATTCATTCATTCATTTGGTAAGTATTTACTGAATACTTATTATTTGTAATACACCCTTCGGTGCCTTGGGGATAGAGCACCAACAAAACCTTGGGAATTTATGTTCTAGTGAGAATTGTTATTTTGACTGCTTATTTCATACTTGTAGAAATACATAGAAGTTTTTTGTAGGTGTGAGAAGATAATAGATTGTAGATATTCTGTACTACTTTCTGCCAAATACTGGCAGCAATGCATATTACATGCTTATTAATACATTGCTTTCCTCAAGGTACTCTGCTACCTTTAGGCAAAACAGGGGATACAGAGGTGGTAAGATTGTTCCAGCCCTTAGGTAACTCACCCACCAGGAGGTAATCACAGTACCATGTGTCGAGTGACTGTCTCTAGTCCATACTTCCCTCCTGAGTACTGTGGGCCACCTGTGGGATAGCTTTACTTACTGTTCCACAGATGGCTGAAGTTCAGGTGTGTTACTGCTGTCTTAAGGGTGAGCTAGAGGTTGGTGGCAGGCCTGACTGCTAGGCCAGGCTCTTTCTTGCACCAAAGCCGTGTTCTTTGACTAGGTCATGATGTCTTTTTAGGCTTTCATTATTATCAGTTGCTCACAGCATGCTGAATGAAATTGGTGTATTTTCCATTGATGAGAAAATAATGTTCATGCATAATGATTTGTTGTGAATGGGTAAGTACCGTATTTCCACTGGGCATAGTGTTGGCCAAGCATCTGTCCTCAGTGTTGAAGTCTGTCTGCTGCATGTGGGCAGGAGGCTTTGAGATGTGCACGTGTGCACACATTGTCTTCTGGAGGCATGGGGAATAAATACGTAATTTTGTTCTTTGCTTTGGATTTGAATGTGTTCTTAAAGCAGAAGAAATCAGCCAAGTGGGGTGGTGGCCTTCTATATGATTAACTCACTGTTGCTGTCCTGCTGCTCGGCGACTCACCTGTTGTCCTGCTGTTTCCCTTAACAGTCTGTATTGGTTTCTAAAACACTGACTGGACCACTAGCATAGTCTTGTCCACAGCTTTGAAAGCTGGTGGGTAAAATGTACCTTTTCTTCCTTTGAAACGTGTCTCGCTGAAGTTCACCCTATGCGTCTCTTCTCCTCCTTCCCTCTTCCGCGTGTTCTGCATGGTCTCTGTCCTGCTGATGCTGCCTTCACCTGGGTCCTGGCATGTGTCTTAACCCCAGGGAGGGGGAATCACTTTGCCTACTACAACTATCACACTTACGAAGGTAATGCTATGCTTAATACTACTTTTGTAACTAGAGCACTAACAGAACCTCGTGGGCAAAATAATGTTCACTGACTATTTTATGTATCAGTTTTTTAGTTGGTATAAATAACCTATTTTAAGAAATGTAATGTCCTGTTATTTTGTTTGTATCTAATAAGTGTTCCATAATTTAGTTCATTTACCAGAAGCTTGTTTTGCTTCTTTGTTTTCCCAGGTTCACCCTGGGAAGCAACTGAAGGCAAACGCAGCATTGGCTGTATAGAATTGTGGGGTAAAGACAAAGTGCTGTTTAAAAGTTCTCCTTAGGCTCTGTTCAACTGATCTATTTCCCTTCATATTTAGAATATTAAAGAAAATGTTCTGGTAGAAGCACGATTGTATATGCTGGGGTTGCTCAGATTTGTCTCTGCCTTTAAATGTGCTCCAGATTTATTGTAGTTACCGACGGTGTGGAAAGATACTCGGGCACTTTGGGAAGAAATGAACTGTTTGTAGAATACTTTTTGAGGAAGGGGAGAGAATATGGAATTTTGTTCAGCCAACAGTTTCATGTGTTTGCTGCTGCCTATAATCCTACTTTGAAGGAGGAGAAGGAAGTGGACTACTACATTCTCCTTTCCCCCCAGCACATACCACACTCCATTCTACCTACTAAATCCTGTGGTCACCATTTAGGTTCTCAGAATCTATGAAGGCTTACTATGGTTTTCTCTTGTTGCCATGAAGTGGTAAGAAACGAGACTGGGAAGGGAGTTATTTCTGACCTCTCTGCTGGTGGGTTCCTGCCATCACAGAGGTGGTAAGAAGGAGAGGCTGGGGAAGCAGCTGGCATCTCTTCCTTTCTCTGTGTGTCTCTGAATCTGTTGATGTGGGATGGTGTGTGACCTCCCTTTGTTGTCTCACACGACACCTTTCAGAAGCATTCACAACTCAAAAAAATATGAATGAATTTTTCTTTTATCCCTAAACAGACATTATTTTTCATGTTCTTATATTTTTAACTTTGCATTGAAATGGTTGTTCTTTGTTTCATACATGATTACTTGTTCCTTTTGCTTCTTTATAATTTGTGTAATTTCTGTGTGTGACTATATTGTATTACTCCTTTTTCTTCATTTTTAGTATAATTATTTACTATTAACACACTAAGTCTTTATCGATTACATACTGTGGACCATGTGCTGAGTGTTCAGTGCTGGGATAAAGAGATTGTTTTAAAGCCTAGCCACCAGGGAGCTTGGAGATGAGGGAGAGGAGGAATAGAAGTCATCTTCAAACGCGATTAGTGGCATTACTATGAAGAAGTAGACAGGGCAGGACAGAAGAGGGGACACGTTTCTTTACCAGGAGTGTTCATTGGAACTGCCGATGGCATTTAAAACAAAATAGTAAATGTTCCTGGGGGATTTGGACTCAGCAGGTCTGGAAGGAAACTGCCTATGTCCAGGAGAATGGATGATTTTGGGGTTTGTTCTGATCAGGACTTTATTACAACAGTTGGAGTTGAAAATTAAAAATTCCAGCATAATGTGAAGCAACACAAATGATGAATCAGTTTTTAAATGTGTATTAGGTATTGGTGTCTCTCACATACTTCAGTCTCGTTTTACCTTCACCCAGATGTCACAAATTTCTGAAATATTTCAGAAAAACAAAATTTTGTCATTAGAATGTGATTTTGTGTACCCTAAAATTAACATCACTTCTTACAGAAGCTGTATATTCAGGGTGTCTGAGAGTTCAGATCACACCACCGCTGAGAGATTTGAGGGTCTAAAACTCTGCATGTACGCTCATACCCTCTAAACTTCGGAAGCTCTCAAAGCTTACATTCCTAATCCCAGTGACTAGAGATTTTATCTGGCCGCTGACTCAAGTGTTACAAGGCAGTTGTGAAGTAGGTCAGGGAGACTTCATGCAGCCTTTGAAGGAAGCTTCACTTGGTGTATTTGCAGTGCTAGACTGACTGTCATGGCTGTGGTACAAATGTTGAACTTTGAAATTGTATCATAATTCATGATTCTTTGAGGCACATTTTCTTATATGTTAACAACTCTGAAATCAGAATAAGCCTTCAGTTGACATCTTGATTAGCTGGGATATAGTAGGTAGGGAAATGAGTAAACATGTCTGGTTGTAAATGGGACTGGAGGTCTTGGCAGGACTACTTCCTCTTCCTCCTCCTCCTCTTCCTCCCCCTCCCCCTCCCGTCCCCCTCATAGAAACTCATGCTCATGGAAATTAAAAATCCCAACAGTTCACGAAGGCATAAAATGACCAGAAACCCAGTCTTCTTTTTCACCCTTCACCCTGGCTCCACTCCAGGGAGACAAGCCGTTTAACAGCCATTCTGAATCAGCAGTGGGCATTGGAATGACTTGGGGAACTTATTCAGAAGACACATTCTTAGGCTTTATCCTCAAGGATTTTGATCCCAGAGGTCTACAAAGATTGTATGTTTAAAACTTCTGTGGGCAGTTCAGCTGTGCCTCATCAGCCCTGCTGCGTATTGTGAGGGCGGAAGCTTACCTCTGGAAAGATCTGGTCTCAGGTGAAGGCCCGTGTGTCTTTGGATCTTCATTTTGCTAATACGATTGCTCTGTAGAATAATTAGCAAAAGTCCAGGGCAGTGTGTTAGAGAAAATTTCTTTTTGTGTAATAAGATCATTGAAATTAATGATAATGTTAATACTTCATATTGAACAGAACTTGATGTATTTTTTAATTTGAATTTTCTGTATCCAGTTTGTTAAATTGTGCTATATGTTTAGAGAATTCTTTGAAAAGAAATCCTGAGAAGTGAGAACAGTAATTTCTAAGGTAGATAACGTTTTGTTTCAAATAATCTGACAAGAACATTAGACTTTGCAAATGGAACTGTCTTCCTTCTCTTCTCACAGATGGTTCCGACTCCAGAGATAAGCCAAAGCTTTACCGCCTTCAGTTAAGTGTGACTGAAGTTGGGACAGAAAAGTTGGATGACACCTCTATCCAGGTGGGCAGTTGTAGCGCAGGGCTGAGCTTCCTGCTGTCGCGCCTGCCTCTCAGGAGGCGCAGCGCGTAGCACAGAGCCACCACGTGGTGACCAGTGAAGGAATGAAAATGGCACATTTTGCATTTAAAGATACATCATTTGTCAACTCTCGGTTACTTTTCTGTGCTTTAGTGTGAAAAGAGTAGGGTATGAGTTTATGTTAAGTGACACCTCCAAAAACGCGGGCTGGCATTCCCCTGAGACTGCTTGCTTCTCTCTAACAGCCGTCTCCAACCTTTTTGGCACCGGGGACCATTTTCATGGAGGACAATTTTTCTAGCGACTGGGGAGCAGGGGGGATGGTTTTAGGATGATTCAAGTGCATTACATTTATTGTGCACTTTATTATTATTACATTGTAATATATGATGTAATAATTATACAACTCAGCATAGGTTGGGGACCCCTGCTCTAAAAGATGGTGGTGGTGATTTTAGAGGACTGTGTCATGATTAAAGGAGGTAACCTATGCAAAAGTGCCCATCACTGGGTCTGGCACACATAGCAATAGGCATTCAATAAATTCTAGTTAGAATACTAGCTGAACACAGTTTTTCACTACTTAAAACAGAGTTTTTTAACACATTCTTTGACTCAGTGAGGTCAGGATTTGTCACTTCTTTGAAGTTGAACTCGGACAAATCCTCCTTGTACTTCTTGTTTCTCAATTAAATGATGGCTTCAGATGGTTAGTGTCATTTTCAGTTCTACCATTCCTTCATTCTTAGCACGGCAGTAAAAAAAAAAATAAAAAATAGATGGGAATTTTTTGTTTGTTTTCTGAGACAGGGTCTTGCTCAATAGCCCAGGCTGGGGTGTACAGTGGTGCAGTCATAGCTCATTGTAACCTCCAACTCCCAGGCTCAAGCGATCCTCCTGCCTCAGCCACCATAGTAGCTGGGACTACAAGCATGTGCCACCACACCTGGCTAATCTTTTTTTAAAAAAATATTTTGTACAGACGAGGTCTCACTATGTTGCCCAGGCTGGTCTTGAACTCCTGGCCTCAAGTGATTCTCCTGCTTTGACCTCCCAAAGTGCTGGGATTACAAGCATGAGCCTGGCCAGATAGGAGTTTTAAATCATAATGATCTATATAGATTTGTCCATTGATTATTGAATGAATGTTAAGATGACTGTATGCTTTTTAATGCAAAGTTATAGTAGGCCTTAAATCAAGTTACTGGATGCTAAAAATAAAAGGTCTGTTTTGACAGTGTTTAATTATACTACTGGGGAAAATCCACTTTAAAAAACACTGAAAATCCAGAGCTTAATAGATTACATTTATCATAAAAGGGCTGTTCAGTTTTGAAATTATGTTTTTAACTGCTATGTACTTCATGATTGAGTCTCTTTGGTGTCCTTCTGTTCTCAGTTGTTTGGCCCAGGAATTCAGCCCCATCACTGTGACCTCACCAACATGGATGGAGTGGTCACCGTGACTCCTAGAAGTGTGGACGCGGAGACCTATGTGGAGGGCCAGCGCATCTCGGAGACCACCATGCTGCAGAGTGGCATGAAAGTGCAGTTTGGGGCATCACATGTGTTTAAGTTCGTGGACCCCAGCCAGGATCATGCTCTTGCAAAAAGATCTGTGGATGGAGGCCTGATGGTGAAGGGCCCGAGACATAAACCTGGGTAAATATTAGAGATCAGCCTTAGGATGTAGCGTTTTGATTATACTTAAGGTAATTCGAATTGTACATAGATGACTTGGCTTTTTATTTTTTATTTTCTTTCATTTTTTAAGAAAATCTTAGTGGGGTTTGTGATTCTGGTTCTTGTTAATTTTGGTTGGTGTTGAAAGAAGACAGGAAGGTCTTAATTTCATCTTAAAATTGGAAGTTCCGATTGGTTTTAAATTATTTATATTTAAACTTTGTTTTTTTAGCCAATATACTAAAACAATACTTATTCCTTTGTGAAACATTATAGTGTTCTATGTAATTATCTTATGTAACTAAGATTTTTAAATTTTGTATTGAGGTTTTTTCCCTATGGCTGATACAAAAACACGTTGAGATCTCGTAAGGAATTCTGAATGTCTTAGCGCCACCCAGTGATTTTCTGAGGACTTGCATCATGGGCTTGTTACAGAGGGAAAAAATCCTTTCTTAATGGCCATCTAGTAAAACTTTGTGGGGAGGGAGTGTGACTTCTCTTTTGGTGGTAATAGTTTTAAAGACATAATATACTGTTTTGCTACTTTATTATTTCTTTTGCAGTTGACAGGGTATTGATCTTGGGAAAACAGCTGCAGTAGTTCTTCCCTCGTGCTGTTTAAAGCAACCAAAAAGTCCCCTGCAGCGTGAGCTTTCTGCCTGAAGAGCACACACATCAGCCAGCGTGTTGGTGGTCTTCAGTGCGTTGCCGTCCTCATTGCTTTGTTTCATGGCATACCTTTGGCTAGCTGCCCGGAGCTTATGCTTTGGGCCAGGTGTGACTGCTTAGAACTAATGTTTTTCTCCAAGATAATCACTTTGTAGATTATCACATATATTCGTTCAGGCAATGGGATATTTGTAAAGTTCGTGGGCTGTTTAAGAACTGTTCCAGCCTCTCGCCTCATCCTGAGCTCCAAGTCTCAGCAAATGATCATACTTCTTACTTCCCAGAGAAAACCAGCAAGTGCCTTTCCTGTCTGCTTCCCAAGAAAATCCATTTCTTTCTAACTCCTTTGTCTTTAAATTGAATGTGTATCTAAACTCACCCTTCCAGTTTTTTAAATATTCTGTTCTTGAGGTGATATTTTTCATTTATCAACCATTTCCCCAGTTCCTATCTCATGTCGTTAGCTTTACATAGACTCTTCTCTTCAGAGAGTCACATTCTCATGCTCAAATGTTTTCCATTTCAATCAACAGATTTTCTTTAGCTCTATTCCTTCCCTTGAGCATCAGACATCTAGAGAGGGTATACCTTTACTTCCCATTTATTTTACGGCTCACTGAAGTTTGGCCAAAGAGATTATTGTGTGAAAATTGTCTTCTGTTGTGTTGCATGTTGTCTTTCAGTAGTATCTACAGTTATTGCCTCTTGTCTATAAGTATGCTTCATTTTTGAGTTTTAGTATATTTATTGTGATGTTTATTACTTAGTAGTAGGTATTTTTTGTTGTTGTTGTTTTGAGACAGAGTCTCGCTCTGTTGCCCAGGCTAGAGTGCTATGGCATCAGCCTGGCTCACGGCAACCTCAAACTCCTGGGCTCAAGTGATCCTCCTGCCTCAGCCTCCCCAGTAGCTGGGACTACAAGTGCACGCCACCACGCTCGGCTAATTTTTTTGTTTCTATTTTTAGTTGCCTGGCTAATTTTTTCTATTTCCTTTTTTTTTTTAGTAGAGATGGGTCTTGCTTTTGGTGAGGCTGGTCCTGAACTCCTGAGCTCAAGCCATCCTCCTGCCTCAGCCTCCCAGAGTGCTAGGATTACAGGCGTGAGCCACCACACCCGGCCTAGTAGTAGTGTGGCGTCTATGTCTGCTGCTGTGTATACGCACAGTTCCAGGAGCAGCCTGTGTCTCACACCTATTGGGCTCTTCAGTTTCGCTTGGTAATGTCTTTTTTCTGTGTGAGACTATCTCCTGTATTTTTGCCGTATGGTTCCTGCTTCAAAGGCCTGCAGTTGTTTCTTCTTCCCATATCTCTGGGCAGAGGCAGAGATCATTTAAGAATATGGCTTAGGTTTCTATGAGGAAAATGTGCTCTGAAATTTTTTTATTATTATATGTTTTCTGGTAAAAATGATGAAAACTGTTTAGTGGTTAAACATACCATCTGTAAATTAGAAAGGACTCTTTTTTTTTTTAATGAACATTAATTTTGCTCTAATGTCAAACTATTACAAAACTTTCTGGGTAACTCATAATAACCCATGGACTCTCAAGTGCAGATTTCAGAGTTTGTCCTTAAATCCTTACTAATGGTTACAAGCAAGCAGCAGAGTTTAGTATTGATAATCAGTTGGGAATTCTAGGGTCTTCTGATGATACATAGACTCATTAATTTACTTATTGGGCACCATTTCATATGTCGTTACTGTGCTGAGTGCCAAGATGAGTGAGAAATAATTGCTACAGTCAAAGATCATAATTCAGAAATATCGAAGTCGTGTATAAAGTCACTTTGGACTTGTCAACACACCCAGATACAGTATGAATGGGCTATGTTAAAGCTCGAAAGAGGTAGCTTTGGGGGAAAAAATTAAAGTCTTATGCATGTTATTATAAATTTGTTATTCTAGGGTGATAATTGTAAATGAAATCAAGAAGGCTTTGATTATACTCAGGTACTACCCATAAGAGGAAGTGGAGAGTGAATAGTGCATACGTGTAGCCTTAGTAGGTGGCAGAGGAGGTAGACTGTCACTGTTCTTACTCCCATTGTCAGAGAGCTGAGCTGAATCTCCCATTCAAACTGATGGGAAGCCGTGGAGCATTTCTGTTTCTATGAATATCTGGCCGATAGGTGATGACTGTTTAATTTCACAAAACTTGGTGATGTGTTGTCTAAAGTTGTATGCAGAAAGGTGACGATTATTTAGCCTTTAGTAAAAGCATGGTATTATTTTGTATTATACGATGCTTTTACTTTCTTAGTCATGAGGTAGAGGAGGAATTTGTACTTGGCTTTTATAATTTGAAAAATTGTTTTGAACTTCTGTATTACTTCCTTGTTTCATTCTATAGATTGAGCTTAAATGAAAGTTTAAAGTTTCCGTGGCGCTTTGAAATTAGAACATATATTTTTCAAATATTGTAACAAAAGAGATTTCATTCTTTCTGATCATCTTGTGCAGAAATCCAGGAAATGTAACTACCGATCCATCTCCATTGGTTTCCCGGTGTTTAGGCTCTTGTCTTCTTGGGTTGGGTCTCTGATGAGCTGGGGCCAGTGGGGTGCACACGTCTTTCTTACATTTGTGCCGAGAATGTAGCCACTCTAGCTTATTAGACTCTTCAGGATGAGGTTTTGTTTATATTCCGAGTTAATTTTTCATAATGATGTGTTTAGAAATTTTGGTATTTAATATGTTGAAATATTTGAAGAATCTGTTTAAACTAGGATAACTCTTGATTTGATTTACTAACATTATCAACAATTTCCCATTTTTAATTTGTAGCCTAAGTAGTGATATCCATGTGATTTAGGAAAAAAATCATCAGACTGGCTTTCAAACAGGACGGAAGCTCAGCCCTGTGCCTTGCCACCTATGTGGTCACCATCCCCTTCCCTGTGCCCATGGTCATGGGCTCCTCAGTCTTCTACACTTCATTTATGTGCCATCTGCAGCCTAGATAGATTTACGTAGTGAAATAACCTTTTTTCTTTACATTCAGTTCCTTTTTATTTATAGTTTAAAAAACATCCTGAGAGTATTCAGTATACACCAGTAAAAAAAGTTTATAAAATTAATGGTTTTTTTGTTCTGTAAGTTCTTTTGCTGAAAATAAAGCGATTTCTTAAAAATCCTGAACATTGAGATAGTGAGCTGAACTGTTCCTTCTGTATTATTAAGAAGAGACTGTGCCTTGTCATTTGAAAGTTATTAATTCTGTGTTTCTTTTTTTTATCCCGACAGAATTGTTCAGGAGACAACTTTTGATTTAGGAGGAGATATTCATAGTGGGACAGCACTGCCAACAAGCAAGGTAGCTAATTATATATTAACTGATAGGACTGTGTTTAACTTTATAGGACACCATGGATGTTTCTGTTATCCATGGGGAATACGTTCAAAGACCCCCAGTAGATGCTTGAATCCATGGATAGTATGGAAGCCTACATATGTATGTACATATGATAAACTTTAACTTATAAATTAAGCACAGTAAGGGATTAATAACAGTTAGTAAAAATGGAGCAATTATAACAATATAGTGTAATAAAAGGTACGTTAATGTCTCTTTCTCTTTCTCTCACTCACTCACTCTCAAAATATCTTTATGTATTGTACTCCCCTATTTTCGAACGGTGGTTGACCTCAGGTAACTACAGCTGTGGAAACTGAAACTGCAGAAAGTGGGGGGAGTACTGTCTAATGGCAATACATATGTAAGACTTCTTTATGAAAACAGACTTCACAGAAGCCTGTAAATGTGGGTTGTTCTAATCTGCTGTGTTAATGTAAAACACAGTGATACATACAAGAAAGTTAGCAGACCATTCCTTTTTCCTGAGGCCAGGATATTGCGCTTTGTCTTCCAGGTGGAGCATGCATGCTTCTCCTGCATGTAACTAGCCCTTCTTGGTCAGATTACCCCTAAAGATAATACACTGCTCTTCTTAACCCCTCACTTTAGATACCGGATCCTTGAGGTCAGTTAACCCTCTCGGGCACCTCACTTCCACAGTATCCCTTATCTCTTGCATAATCAGTTTGTTTTTTGCCCTCATTTTGGTTATTTCTTGCTGGATAACAAACCAGTACAAAACTTAGTGGGCTAAAACAATAGCTGTGTTATTTGTTTACCATTGTGCGATCTGGTTTGAGCTCACCTGGGCAGTTGTTTGCTGGTCCTGCTGATGGTCACTTGCATGGCTGCATTCAGCTGACAAGTCAGTTGGTAGCCAGTTGCTGGAATGCAGGGACAGCTGACCTCATTCTCTCTGTGTCGTCTGAGGTCTGTCCATGGGACCTTCCCCCCACTGGGGCAGCCGGAAGTCTTAGTCTTGTGGTGCCGCACAAGCACCAGGGAGCTTCCAGGCCTTCTTAAGGGTTAGTCCCAGGACTGACACAGTGTCAGTTCCTCGGCCTTCCATTGGCTAGAGCAGATTACAGGCTCAGCCTAGATTCAAGGGGAAGGGGCCACTCAAGATGTGGTTCACTGGAGGCCATGACACAACAACCTCCCGCAGTCCTGGAGTGTTGTCATCAGCCTCAGAGCATGTCAAGCATCTCCAGTGTCACCTGTGCTTGCTGTCTCCACTTCCCAACTCCATGTTCTTTCCTCTGCTCCTGTTGACTCCTGCCTTTCCATAGCTGTGGCTGTCAGGGCACTGTGACCTCCAGCTTCCAAGACCCAGGTTCATTTTGTCCTGTCCCACTTGTCATAGCAGTTTCTGACTAGGCCACCTTCTCTTCCTTGATGCACTCCTTCTTTCGGCTTCTAGGGATCACTTTCCTGATTCTTCCCCCACCTAATGGTTGTTCCTCCTCAGTCTGATTTGTTGGTACCTCTTCCTCTTAGGCTTGACTTCAAAAGTTTGAAGGGCTAAGGTTTCAGACCTAGGGTCCCTTGTGTTTATGCATCCTTCCTAAGTTTAAATATTGTCTCATTTTTTTTTTTAAGAGACAATACCTCGTTTGTAGCCTGGGCTGGAGTGCAGTGGCATGGTCGTAGCTCATTGTATCCTTGAACTCCTGGGCTCAAGCAATACTTCTGGCTTAGCCTCCTGAGTAGCTGGGACTACAGGCACGTCACTACGCACGGCTAATGTTTTGTTTTGTTTTGTTTTGTTTTTTTTAATTTTTAGAGACAGAATCTAGCTACATTATCCAGGCTGTTCTCAAACTCAGCCTCAAATGATCCTCCCACCTGGGCCTCCCAAAGTGCTGGGGTTATAGGCATGAGCCACAGTGCCTGGCCCCATCTAATGTTAATTGTCACCTACTGTGTGCCTTTGGCCCTGACCTCTCCAGATTCCTTTCTCCAGAGACTTGCTTGACATATCATATCCACTTGCATTTCCTGTATTTATTTCAAATTGAACACAGCTAAAATGAGAGTAGATTTTCTTTCTCAAACAGGCTTATTTTTCTGATCCTTCCCCATCTTAGTAAATGATGGTACCATTCACAGCATTGCTCTGATGAAACCTGCTCCCCAGCTGGTCCCTCTCTGTCCCTCAGCCTTTGCATGAAGGGATCGCTCTGCCCATCTGGCATAGGCTGCAGCGGCCGGTAGTGGAGCAGGAAGGGCCGTGTAGCTTCTCCAACAGTGGCCTTCTTCTGTTCCGCCTGGCCTGTCATTCTCCTCACACTTTAAAAATGTAAACTAGATTCTGTCACTGCCCTGTGTTCAAAGCCCCGGTGGCTTCTCACCCCAAATATCAGCCTTCACTCTGGCCTGCGCAGCCCCTGCGACCTGAGCCGGCCACCCTCCCAGTGTGTCTCATCTGGCCACTGCTCTGTGGCTGACTCAGGTCCAGGCCCACGCGGCTTCTGTTCTGTGCTTGTGCCCAGCTCTTTCCCAGCTGAAGGCCTTTCTTGCTCTTGTCTTTGGTTTTCACACGATTGGCCCCTTCTTGTCTCAGACCCCAGCTTAAAGCCACCTTTTTGATCACGTTGTCCCTGAGCATCCCGTCACTATCACACCACCTTATTTAAACTCTTTCTGCAGCCTTTATTACCATTTGATATTTGTCTTGTTTATCGATTGACTGTAGAATGTGAGCTCTGACAGCAGAGATCTTACTTCGTATGTTCCTGCCGTATTTCTAGTGCTTAGAAAAGTGCCCACGTGTGCAAGAGTCTTGGGAAATAGCTTGTCAATAATTGAGTGAGTAAATACTCCTGGAGCCAAATAGAACTGCCTTTATAAAAAAAAAATTTAGTGTCTTATAAAAATGTGTGTAGAAGACTTGGTAAATAGAGGAAAAAAAGGTTAAAAAATGAAAATTATTCATCCACAATTTATACTTCACCCTTGGTAATAATGTTTTGTTATCCATTACTTATCCATTGCCCTATTACAGTTTAGATAGTGCTGCCGTGCACTGACCAGCAACTCTGTTTCTGTAAATGTATCTTATGTAAATAATCATTGTGCTTGAATATAAGAATTTGTAAGCACAATTGTCATGGCACTTTGTACTGATGAGCATTTTGAACAGTGTTATGTAGCATTGGTTTAATGAAGTGTGATGAATAGACGACAAAATGGAAGTGGCTGCGTGTTTTTATTCTTATTTTAATGCCAGTGTGCTTTGGGCACACCCTTGTGGACATGGTGTCCTCAGCCTTGCTCTGTGCTTCTCTGGTCTGTGCTTCGCCCTCCCTGCTTGTAAGCCCTGCACCAGATCTCTGCCTGCAGCACCGAGTGTCAAGCTTGGTTGGTCTGCACGGTGTTCTAAACACACTGTGCTTTTCCTTTGGCATAGAGCACCACCAGACTGGACAGCGACAGAGTATCGTCAGCCTCCAGCACAGCCGAGCGGGGAATGGTGAAGCCAATGATCAGAGTAGAGCAGCAGCCAGACTACCGCAGGCAAGAAAGCAGGTAATTTCATTTCTTATTGTGAAAGAAGTAAAAGTATTTTTAGTTCAGGGTTTGGGATAAAGATTATTCAGTTTATAAAGGTTCTGCTGACATTTAAGAATGTTAACAATACCATTTTAAGAGTATTTCCTTTCCATGTTATTGAAGTGAAAAGCAATGCTTTATTAATAATCATACCTCTCACTTATAATGCCATAGTGTTATCAAGTTGAAATACGAGGCACACTGAATTAAAATGTTGCTATTTCAAATTTGTTGCTTTGTGGAAACATGAAGAGAAAAGGAGTTTTTAAAGGATTTTAATATTTGATAATTTTTATTTTTAGAGAAATCTGGTCATTTAACCCATTTCTAGCAGAAATCTTCATCTGTTTAAAAATACATGAAGCTAAAAGTGATTTTGAAATAGGTATTTTAAGAATCGAGAGTGCCATGTTAATCATATTTTATGCTCTGATGTGATGTGTCTCGCTGTTGGGATAGATGGAGGATGAATTATTTTTTCTTCTGGCATTGTTCTTACCTAGGTTTTTGGGTGGAGAACTTCAGCCTTTTCTTATTACCCTTTCTTGTAATTTTTAATATGCGTCACCTTAATAAATTAGAATTCTATTTCTTTATGACCTCTAAAATTTTTTAAATGTTGAAAAGTAATGTCAATGCCTTAAATATGGTTGTTAACTAACAGATGATGAGTGCCACATGCTAACTAGTGTAAACTGCATCATTATTTGGTGCTGAACACTTACACTCTATAGCTCTAAATGGACTCAGACAGAAGTAGGGAAATACTGTATGACTTGTATGATGTTCTCACTATCAGCAGTGACATTGGGAGCATTCCCCTTTTGGTGCTCTTCAGATTTTTGAAGAGACCATTCTTACTGTTTCCTGTCAAAGATCCAGAAACTGAGACAGATAGCTGAAGCAGGTGACTTGTCTAGGGTCACCTGTCAATTCAGTCACAGTGATAGGTACTACTTCTTCCGTTTCGCAACTTCCAGCAGAGGGCACTCTATATTGCAATATTTTATTTAACATCATTCATCACGGTAATTAAATACGTGGATTCATAAGGAAGTCTCAGGTTTTTACTTTATTTTCATTTTGGACTTTTGGTTCTTATGCAAGATTTTTGTTGGCTGTGTGAATTTTATTAGATGTAATAATGAATAGTTTACTTTCTGTGCTTGGACTTGTTTTTGATAGTACGTTGTAGAATAAGATGTCCAGAATGGTAAATTGGTATGGTAAGGAGTAACTTGTATTTATAAGGTGATTGAGAAGCATATATTATAATTCTTAGCTTAGAAATATTTGAGTGATTGAATGAATCCACGTGGGGAAAGGGAAAGATCAATTAGGATAATACTTTTAGGATATGCAAAATCGGTGATTAATAAATGTGTATAGTTGATAGTATGTTAATACAGTGTCTAAATAGCCACGTGATTGTTAATTATATGTCTGAAATTATTTTTTACCCTGAGCACATATTTTAATTAAAATTTTTACAACGTAATTTGCTTTGCAAAGACTTATTGAAGGTTTTATTTGAATTATAAATATGCTGCTTTGTTGATATTAAGAGAATGATGAAAAAAGTTGAACCTTCTCATTCTTACCTCATTGTCACTCTTTGTTTTTCACATGTACAATATTGGAATAAACATTAAATTAAATACTTAATTGGTATATTTTAAAATACTAATTTTACACTGGGCACGGTGGCTCATGCCTGTAATTCCAGCACTCTGGGAGGCCGAAGTGGGAGGATCACTTGAGCTCAAGAATTTGATACCAGCTTGAGCAAGAGTGAGATCCTGTCTCCATAAAAATAGAAAAATTAGCTGGGTGTTGTGGTGTGCACCTGTAGTCCCAGCTACTTGGGAGGCTGAGGCAGGAGGATCACTTGAGCCCAGGAGTTTGAGATTGTAGTGAGCTACGATGATGCCACTGCACTCTACCTGGGGCGACAGGGCGAAACTCTGTCTCAAATTTTATTCAAGGAAAAAATCCTATTAAACTTTTAATTGTCACTGATAATTTTTTTTTTCTTTTTCCAATGACAAGTTAAACTCCTTGTTTTTACCAGATTTTTTAAAATAAACAGTTGGTAAATTTTATCCAGGTTCCTTTTATGGGATATTAAATTAAAATAACTGCCTATCTGCAATTTTAGATGTCTATAAATATGGAAGTGTAAGAGAGACATGTTAAAATAATTGAGCATTTAAATTATATTGTTTATAAAAGCATCTTTGTTCTCCTAAGTTGTTGAGTTAAATCATTAAATCGTAGACTGGATAACAAACTTTGAAGCATATACTTTGATGAGAAGATTTTTGTTTTTGTTTTATTATTATAATAGTTTGTGTTAACTCACATTATATTCTTTTCTCTTTATTCATCTTGTGGGGCATGGAAAAGCTGAGGATGGATCCTCAACTATTTACTGTTAAAAAGGAATTATTTTAGTTAGCCAGCTCATATAAACTTATAAATTTGTAATCATCATAAGTTGTTCTTTTTCATTTTTGAAGAAAAGTCTTTTATTGTTGGTATTAACGTGTTTTGTGAGTGGACCATCGATTGCAAGTACTTGATTCTGGCAGTTCATTGCCAGTTTGTTACCAGTCATCTAAGACTGAAATGCTGCTGCTAAAAGCGACTGTCACTCTAAGTCACTGAGGAGTATTTCTGATTCAGCTATGCTGATAACTGGCAACTTTCCATTTCGCCAGATATGAATATTTATTTGAATAAATATTTATCTCAGTTTAGATCAGTAGATATTTTCATCCTTGTGTAAGTCTTTATAATCCCTGTTATTTAATTTCAGTTAATTTTACAGAAGGACAAAACACATGTTCTTTGGCTTTTGCTGTAAATTTTAATTTTCTTATTTTTTCAGACAGAGTTTTTGAGAATTCTTCCTGATTATCTCTAAAATGATAAAGATATTGAAATGTTTAGGAAGCTAATAACTTGCCCATGTGTTTGTTTTGATTAAGTATACTATTATACATAAAATATAGCTAGTAGCAAACTTAGAGCCTAACAATTAAATGGCTTGAAGTTCTAATGATATGTCTAAGTGAACTGAGCATTATCCATTGAGAAAATATAAATCTATTAAGATAAGCAGATCTAAACTGGATTTGTAATTATTTAGCTTATACAGTTCAGAAAGTCTGTGCCTAGTAATGGCTTTCAAAATGTTTTTAACCTTGGGCACAACACAAGATCATATTTTATATTTTGCTGTGGTGGGCACACACATACAAATTCATATATTCATAATTGGAAGAGGAATTTCACAAAACAGTGCTCACCCTTATGTCCTGTCAATGGGTGGTGACCTGATGTTTGAAGAATACTTTTGTAGAAATAGAAATGTACCTAACCTTTGAATTAATTTGACCCTGAATACCTGGAAATATATAAACATTAGCACAATGCTAATTCTTAGAAATGTTCCAAATTATAGTTCCTCCTTATAATTTTTGCCAGTTCCTTTTCTGTATAGTGTCAGGCTAAATTGCAGAAAGTACCTGGCATTTATGCGACCTTAAGAAAAATGTGAGTGAATAGAATGCCTTTTTTTTAAGGCGTGCATTATTGTGGGGACTGAAACACGGTAGTACTGAATGGCTGAAGGAAACTTTCATCAGTCATCTGGCTAACTCTGTATCAGTAGAGAAAGACAAATAATGACTCAGTCCTAGGAAACTTTTCTGTTTTAGTTATACTAAAACTCATTTTCAAGCTCAACATGGTTCAGTTTTCTGTGTGTCTCTTAGTAGTATCTTTTCACTGTCACCTGAGCCATAGGTATAGCAGGTGCAAGACAGTGTGATCTCTGTGCTAGACATGAAGTGTTCATTAATAATCCAGAGTCAAGTCAGATCTGCTCTCACAGTGGAGGTATATACTTCAAGGAACTAATGAACTTCTGTCAAGAGTTGTGATAAGATCACTCCCAATGCATTCATCTCAGTATTTCAGTAGGTTACATGTGAAAACAAGGGATAGTATTATTTATTTTACATTTGAAAAATGTGTATAGAGATTTAAGAAATAGTTGCAGAAATCTACACAGGTTGTCTGTGATATTTAGCCACATGACCTTATTTTAAGTGATGACAACTTTCTTCCATTAGAACGCAGGATGCTTCTGGGCCTGAACTGATACTGCCTGCAAGCATTGAATTCAGGGAAAGTTGTGAGTAATTTCAGATTCCATTCTTAGTGAATTATTTCTTGATCCATTTTTCTCCATTTGATTTTTCATGGTTTTTTTTGTTTGTTTTTTCTTTTTTCTTCTTTTTTGAAATCTTTTCACAGCTGAAGATTCATTTTTATCTGCCATTATAAATTATACTAATAGCTCGACAGTCCATTTTAAGTTGTCCCCTACATATGTATTATATATGGCATGCCGGTATGTATTGTCCAGCCAGTACAGACCTGATATCAGTCCTACAGAACGCACTCACAAGGTCATTGCCGTGGTCAACAAGATGGTGAGCATGATGGAAGGAGTCATCCAGGTAAGTCCAGCTGAAAAGCCGTGCCGACCCAGCAATCACGGTCATAACTTTGAAGTCAATGAATTCTTTAACGCTTCCAATTTGGTTACATGTTTGACTCTATTTTTAGAGTTTTTTTCCTACATAAATAATATAGAAAAATGGATAGCTTTAAGGAGTTGAAAGGAAATGTAAACCTTTTTTTAATAAGCTTTAAAATAAATAAACTGTGTATGTGGTAACATAATGATCATGAGAAAGATCCTTAAATTTGTACTAGTAGTTGTAAGAAAGCGTTGAGACTGTCGGAGCTTTCTTAGAATGTTTTTAAAAATAATTTATTGAGATGAAATTTATGTAACGTGAGGTTCACCATATTGAAGTGAACAATTGAGTGACATTTAGTGCATTCACAGTGTTGTGCAACCACCACCTTTATCTGGTTCCAAAACGTTTCCATCACTCCAAAGTAAAACCCCTTAACCATTAAGCAGTCTCTCCCATTCCTCCCTGTCTCCAGTCCTTGGCAACCACCTTCTTAGAATTCTTTTATGGTTATAAAAAGGCACTTGCTCCTTTATAATGAGCCTACTATGATGTTTGTAGTACTTGTCGGGGCCTTTTTGAGAGCACATATGTAGGTATGTAGGACATCATGACGTATTTTTCACTTAAGATGAAATTCTTTCATAAACCTATTATGAAAATTTCAGGAAATAAGGGTATTCTGTTGGTAGAATAGTTTGGTTCCTCTAAGTACTCTCAGTCTGCAATTGATAAAATTGACATAGCAGTTTTTCATGTTCACAGATAATTTGAAGATTTAATATTTAAAATCCTTAAAAGTAAATTTATAGATTTTTAAAAAGTTTTCATAAATCACTTCTCAGTGCTGTTATTTACCTTGATACAACCTTAGTTAGATGGTTTGGTTGTTTTTTTCCTGGCAGGATCATTTGAGGGAAACTGAGATAATCTTGTATTTCTTCCCTCAGAATTTTTTTAAAAGGCCAAAATTTTTCAAGAAATATTTCTTTCATATTTGAGTGATTAACATGACACAAATTTGCTGGGGTTGTGATTCTTTTACCCAAGGTAGGAAATCGATAGAAAGGGAAGTCACTTTATTTGAATACCACTGTGTCACTCTCACGTCATTATTTATACACAAACGTGGATTTCCTGTTCAGTTGTCATCCAGAGCTGTTGTCTGTCTTCCATCATGTCTGGACTTAGAGAGCCTGTTTCAAACTGTGAAACACCTTTTGTCAAACCACCTTTGGTAGACTTTTCCTTTCTGATGTGAACTAGTCAATGAAATCACTGTTACCAGACAAGTCTTTTAAACTTTAGGTTTAGTAACCAATCAGAGGAATGTTAAAGTAGTGGAAAAGAACTATAATAGTAGTGAATAATTTAAATTCTGCTTTCAAAAAACAAAGAATCTATTCCTTTTAGTATAGGTATAAGTTCTTTTACATTTTTAAATTCTCAACTTTCTCAGCTTTTATTTTGATAGTTTCTATTGGCTTGTCCTGTTTCTCTCGTTCTTATTAATTAAACTGGGGAAATGGACTCTCATTTATGTACCTGTAAATAGTAAGCACACAGTTTCATTAAAAGATGTTTAGAGGTCCTTCTTTTGTAAATCTTTTAAAGAGATCAGTAGTTCTCGTGTATTTATTGAAACATCATCTTCGTAGATAAATTCTATGAAAATTCAGTTAGTTATTGTGCCAGTGTTTAAGATCATAAAACTAATCCTTTAAATCATATACTTCCAAAACTGCTTCAGAACCATGAATGAAAATGTAATTTGGGAATAACATAGCTAAATGTCGTACCTTCATGTCGTACCTTCATGTTAGTGTTTTGATTTTTTTAAGCTATCATGATTGTTCACAGTTTCTTTCTCTCGTTCTGCTTGATTTCCCTCGTCTGTTTTTCTCCAGGAAGTAGACCAGGTTGACCAGGTAGGACATTCTGCTGGGAGCTGATCCTAGCTGTGTTGCTTAGCCGAGTTCTCTCATGCTGCTCCCATGTCAGACACAGCACTGCAGCAGCTGGACTGAACAGCTCGTAACCCTCATTCAGCGCCCGAGACATGCAGTACTAAACCCTTTTGACTGCGCAGCCTTTATCAGCATTTCATAATTTCTGCTTACTGCACTTCAGTGTGGATATGAAATGACAAGAGTTCTGTTTCTTCTCTTTATTATTTATCCTTGGTTCCTATTCTTTGGATCTCATCTGAGGTTGCCTGGCCTGCACATGTGGTCGGGAGAGGATGCGATAGATCAGTACTTGATACTGAGTTGCATGGTGTCCAAGCCGGTGACTACAAGTATCAGGGTGGCTGTGGGTAACCATGGATACATGTGTGTATACTGCACAGATTACCAGATAATGCATAATCTACAATTTGGTATTATGTTATTTGACATCTCCATTTCTCCACGATTCCATGAATTGTGGTCAATTAAATCTATATGTCTGTGAACGTGAATTCTGATAAGTAGTTGCAGTGGTTTTTATAATATTTACTTCCCACTGCTATGTGTGCACCTAAATTCCTTTGCAAATATCTGGTATCTGTGGTAAATACCTTGGTGAAAATGGGAAGGTACTGGTCTATCTTCAGCAGCTTTTCAAGAGCATTCCCTTTTATTTTTATTATCTTTGTTTATCCTGTGTTGCTTATGGAAATGTGTTCTGTCCACAGAAACAGAAGAATATTGCAGGGGCACTTGCCTTCTGGATGGCAAATGCATCTGAACTTCTCAACTTCATTAAGCAGGACCGAGACCTTAGTCGAATCACATTGGATGCCCAAGATGTTTTAGCACACTTGGTTCAAATGGCATTTAAGTAAGGAGTGCATTCTTGAAGATGATGCTGTTGTTTAAAGAATTAAATCATATGTTTTCTTGCTCAATTTTCAAAACTAATTTTAAAGGTTTTTTTATTTACCTTAATTGAAGATGCATATCAAGAAGCATAAATAAGTATATGTAAAATGTGTTGACTTAATACTGAATTCAGTGAGCTGTGTTTCAAAATTCTAAGAGTAAAACTCAATTTTTTTGATAGAAAATATTTCTGAAGAGTCCAGATTTTGATAACACGTCTTACAGTGGCAGTGTGTCATGCAGAGATTATTAAAATTGCTTATGTATTTTCAGATACTTGGTTCACTGTCTTCAATCAGAACTTAATAATTACATGCCAGCCTTTCTAGATGACCCTGAAGAGAACAGTCTGCAAAGACCAAAAATAGGTTAGGATATTCTTTGATTCCCTCCCTCTCTCCTGCTCTTCCTTCACATTTAACTTCATTTTAATGTTTAGTACATGTAAGGAGAGGTAATTTTAAAATAAATGAGATGATCTATTTTGTTTGTCAGTCTTTAGAATAATAAATTTTAACTGTCATCTGTTTTATTTATAAATAGTTCTTTGGTGTCGTGCTGGTCATACTTTTTTCAAAAGTCTGTTCAGATGAACTTACAATGTTAAGTGTAGTTAGTTAATAACTACTGAGTTTTGGACCATGTCACTGATTCCTATTTGAATAAGTTTGATGTTTTTAAAGTGATTAAACAGCAATTACTACCTACCTACTATTATGTAAGTTTACTGTGAATCCCAAGAGTTCTTCTGGGTGACATGTTGGTCCGCTCGCCTTCCCGTCCTGTGTCTTGGGCAGATGATGTGCTGCACACACTCACGGGAGCCATGTCCTTGCTGCGACGCTGCAGAGTCAATGCTGCCCTGACCATCCAGCTCTTCTCTCAGTTGTTCCACTTCATCAATATGTGGCTGTTCAACAGATTGGTGACTGACCCAGATTCAGGGCTGTGTTCCCATTACTGGGGAGCAATTATCCGCCAGCAGTTGGGACACATTGAAGCGTGGGCAGAGAAGCAGGGCCTGGAGCTGGCCGCCGATTGTCATCTGAGCAGGATTGTGCAGGTGTGTGCTGCCGGCTCCCACTCCCACAGTCAGCGTACTTTATGGTGAACAGATCTGATTTTATGATGGGCAAGAGCTTGGATGCAACAAAACCTCAGTACCCTCCTTCTGGGGCTTTTCACGTGTGCAAATAATGCAATAGTAACGTATTAGTACCCAGGCTGCTGTAGCAAAGTACACAGTGAGCATCACTAATCTGAAAGTCCAAAATTCAAAATACTCCTGGTATGCTGCCACAGGTTACCCTGAACACATGCTGTGAGTAGCGTGTAAATTCAGAGTGAGGAATGATGGCGATGCTGCACAACCACAGATTGCCCATGTGATTTGCTTTTTGATGGTTTAATGTGTACTAACTTGTGTTTCATGCACAAAATTGTTAAAAATATTGTGTAAAATTACCTTCAGGCTGTGTATAAAAGACATGTGTGAAACATAAATGAATTTTGTATTCAGACTTGGGTCCCAACCCCAAGATATCTCATTATGTATATGCAAATATTCCAAGATTTGAAAAAATCCAAAATTTGAAGCACTTCTGGCCCCAAGCATTTTGGGAAAGGGATACTCAACCTATACCTCAGGCTGAGCGGCTTAACAGAAATTTATTGTCTCTCAGTTCTGGTGGACAGAAGTTGAAATCAGAGTGTTGGCAGGGCTGGTTCCTTCCTGGGGCTCTGAGGGAAGGATCTGTTCCAGGCCTTTCCCTGCATCGGGTGATTCGCATGCATCTGTTAGCCTGTAGATGCAGTGCCCCAGTCTCCGCCTTTGTCTTCACCTGGTGTGTTCCTTGTATGCATGTCTGTGTCTAGATGTCCACTTTTTATAAGGACAGCGGTCATTTTGGACCTACTGACCTCATTTTAACTTGCTTACCCTATAAAGACCCTATCTCCAAAAAAGACTACATTCTAAGGTACTGGGGGCTTAGGCCTCCAACTTAAGAATTTTGGGGGACACAGTTCAACTCATGACAGGAAGGGTCCTTTACGTTGAGATTAATGAGGCATATTTGAGAATGCTTCATACTAAAAGATAAATACCAATTTAAAAACAGATAACAACTCTTAAAAATACAAAGTCTCATCATGCTAATGGCTTAACCACCTCTGAGGGAATTTTAGATATCAAAGACTAGGAACTAACATATTGCAATTAAGGAATTGAGTCATCTACAACCTCAAAACCTAGGACAATATTTTTTTATTATTATAATGTATAATTTTTTTCTTGATTTCTTAATCTCTTTTAAAGAGATTTAGTATAGCAAGAGGCTAGTCAGCTAGTTATGAAAAGTCAATTACAATGAAACTGTTCGGACACCAGTATTTGCTAACCCGGATGGTCATGTAAATGCTTACACTTCCAAACAGAATTTTTTTAATACTTTATGAACATGAATAATTGTATTTAGTTATACATATGTTTTAGTAAACTTAAGATGGCATTGAAAAACCTTTACTAGACAATGCTTTTAATTCAGTTTTTATAGTTAATGTAAGTCTGTTGAAAACATCCTACATTTCAAAATTAAATTAGCAAATTACTACAGTTTTACAAATATTACATAAAGGATAATATTTATGAAATACTTTTAAGTCATAATATTTCACGTTATTTATTCTTTTAAACAGGCAACCACTTTGCTCACTATGGATAAGTATGCACCCGATGACATTCCAAATATAAACAGCACCTGCTTTAAGTTAAATTCATTGCAACTTCAAGCCTTATTACAGAATTATCACTGTGCACCTGATGAGCCTTTTATCCCGACGGTAGGTGCATGTTGCCAGATTTTGCCACACAGTGTAGGACGTGTTTGCACAAGGAAATTTGGATGAGAAAAGCAAAAGGAAAACTTATTTAATAAGTTGGCTTATTTAATATCATCTTGTGAGATCATTTTGCTGTTGATGTCTGAGTTAGAGTTTTGTGCAAGAAGCAGAAACTATACAAGCATTTTAAGTAGAAAGAGATTTTATTCAGGGAATTGGGTTCTTGGGAAATCGCTGAAAGGACTAGGGGAGAAGTCAGGACTTTAGGATGTTCCAGCGTGCATCGCCATAACTGGGTGCCAGTGGGTCGCAGCGGCCGCCACAGCCACAGGTGTCCCCCACAGCCTGGGCAAGGTAACAGGCATCCGGTTGGCAAAACCCCTCGTCTCGTCCAGAATGGAGCCTGGAGTTTTGGGAGGATGAGAAACCTAGTCTACCATATCTACCGCTGTTGGCTGTTTATAACGAGGGTAGATGCTACAGATGCCCACCGTCGCAGTGAAACATGTCCTGAGAATTATGTATGTAAGTGAAGTGGATAGATAGTTTGACCTCCAGTACTGAATTTAGGCCAAGAAAAGACAGGCACAAAGTAACCAAAAACCGACAATCACCAAGTCAACAGTACGATTTGTAAATAAATTGTGCCATAGTCATATAAAGAATATTGCACCGAAATGAGAAAGAATGAGTGATAGTTAACCACAACAACTTGGATGAATATCATGACATATTTGCACAAAAGAAGTGCATACTTCATCTGTGTGAAGTTCCAGAACAGACCACACTGATCTATGGTGTTGGAAGCCTGCACAGGTGTTCCCTTTGGGGAGGAAGGAGAGAGTGTGGTGGGGACAAGGGGCAGCCACTCAGGTGCTGGTGTCCAGCTTCACCGGTGCGGGTGGAGTGGCAGTTGAGCTGGAGTGCTCACTTCATTGAGCTACACGCTGAGGGTTTGTGAACTTTCCTGTGTGTAGAGGACGTGTCAGTAAAAGGTTTTTAAACAAAAATCACCCATAAACCCCAAATTCAGAAATAACCTCTATATTTCCAAACTCGAAAAAATACTACATAGCTATTTTATACTGTTTTTTATTTTTAACATTGTGTGGGCTTTTCCCTATATCGTTAGAGAGTCTACAAAGATGATTATTAACAACTGAAAATTAAAGAATTGTGTGAGAAAAATGATTACTTTGGGAAAGAGAAAAAAACTTGTGATTGAGCAGTTTCTTCTTATTTAAAGCTACAAGATATTTAAAATCGTGGTTCGTATATGAAATGTGTACAACTTGCACGTGGGTTGTTGCTTTGGAAACTGATTTTGGACGCGTTGATGCATCTGTGCACTTGTGTCTGGGAGAGGAGCCGCGCCACGGTGCTCAGACAGGTTTTGAGTGTTGTTGGTCCCGTGCACCAGGGCTTGAGCATCTCTTCTTAATTTTCTGTTTGTTCTCTGACAGGATCTCATAGAAAACGCAGTGGCTGTGGCTGAGAACACTGCAGACGAGCTGGCCCGCAGCGACGGGAGGGAAGTGCAGCTGGAGGAGGACCCTGACCTGCAGCTGCCTTTTCTTTTGCCAGAAGATGGCTATTCTTGTGATGTTGTCAGAAACATTCCAAATGGTTTACAAGAATTTTTAGACCCTCTGTGCCAGAGAGGTGAGTGTTCTTTATCCTGCGTGAGTCCGAGCTGTGACCCAGTTGAAGCGAGCATTTTACTCATTGTCCTCCTTCAGGGGGCAGCCCACTCACGTGGCAGTGCACCCCAGGCCATCTGGGAAAGCCCGTGTGCCACTGGCTTGGAGAAGAAACTTTCGTGGTGACGTGGGATCAGACGTGTCTAGGCACAGAGCCCTTGTGGATGGATTGTGGCCCTACAGTGAGCATCTACTCTGCCCACTGGTGTCCCAATTGCATTTTCTGCCTGGACTGATAGCGGGGGACCTTTTCTTGCCCTTCCCTTCTTGGTATTGTGTGAGCCTAGGGGATCGATTCATTCTCCTGGAACTAAATTGTAAACTCTGTGTTGGTGCTGGCACAGCAGAGTAGTTAAGAGCAGCACAAGCTTTGGAACCAGACTGCCTGGGTTCCAAACCCAGCTCTGTCACTCACAGGCTGTGCTGTCATGGGCAGGTTACCTCTGTGCTTGATTTCTCATCTGCGAAATGGGCATGTTGATAGTACCCAGCAAGTGTGTGCGTCGGCGGGGGGCGCTGCTGCATGGCCGCTGCTGTAGTCACCAGTGCCAAACTCCCGCATGTCGTGTGCTTCACATACAGCCCTTTCATATGAAAGGTTTTATAGCACTGCAGAGTTTGAGTGCAACTGATTTCCATGATTTTATTATGTAACCTTTGCTACATTTTCTTGTTGATGTATGTTAATTGAAAACACCATGATTATCCCTGACATATAAGGTTTTGAATTAGACCAAATTTTGGTACCATTCTGCTACTTTTTTGTAATGTGGAGAACAGCTCTGATGAGTAGAAGAATAGACATAAAATGTAGGGGTTAAACAAATCCAAGTAATAATAATAGAGAAGTTTAGGTTTTATGCCCATAGGTATATACATTTTGTGGGTGTGATTAACTTTAATGAATATGTCACTCACCACAATAAATACATTTTTATCTCTTCAAAAATATCTTCAGAGTTGTTAACAGTTTACAAAAAGTCATTTTATAAAGGCTGCTTCTTTTAATGAAATGTATTTGCAATACAACTAGCACTGGAGTTTTCCCAGAAGCACCTTCTGTGCTCAATTCCGCCCTCAGGGAAGCAGAGCCAAGGTGGGGTGAAGCAGAGGTGAGGTGTTATAGGGAACCATGTGTGAAGGATGAGGGGTGAGAGCAGAGATGGGCAGAGAGAGCCTTCAGTCCTGGTATAGGTGGTACCTGTGACTGGGTGGGGAAGGGAGGAGGGCCGGGCTGCAGGGCTGTTCTGAGGATGTTTCAGCTAGTGTTCCTCTGGAGTGGACCTGAACTAGTCTACAGAGCATTCGTTCTGTGCTCAGGTGTTACCTGACAGAGGCACCTAGAGGCCTCATACCACATGGTGGTGGACCCACGATCAGCAGCAGAACTGCCAAGCAGTGGGCCCTTGGGCCACAGGGCTGCATAAAGGTGTCCTCCAGGCAGGCCACACCTCAGCACATCAGAGACTACAGCCAGCTTTGCTTCCCAGACACCCCCATCCCCCACCCCACCATGTGTTAATTACGGAACTAGTCCTCTGACAGTCTTCCAGCCCAGTTCTCCATTCTCCTGCTCAGTCAGTCCTTCATATCGCCGTGGGATCTTAAAACCAGGGCTTGTTAAGACTCTCTCCTGCTAGGAACTCTTTCTCCATCACCTATAGGATTAGCGTGAACTGTTGAGCATGACATCATCTCCTGACAGTCTTCTTTCCCTACTTGAAATGCACACACTGTATATATTATTATTATCATTATTATTATTATTAAGCTGTGTGTTGTATCTCCATGCAACACACCTTTGTCAGGATTCACTTCTGCTGTTGAACTTACATACTTTTGTGTTCTTAAATTCCAGTCAGACATCCATTTATCAGGAAAATGAGTATCTTTCCTACATATTAACATGCCTTGCCCAGGAGTGATTGTTGTGTTGCTTGCTTCTGTCATTGCGCCTGTCATGTGCATTTGAAATGTGTGCGCCTGCCTGTCTTCCATAGTGAGGGTGGGCTCCTAGAGCCTGGGCTGGGCCAGGCTGTACTTCCTCTCATGTTCGGCACCACACATGGGCCTGCTGCATGCTCAGTGTTTTTTTAATTAATATCTTGCAAATAAGCATGCAGGGAGAATAATTTATTAGCATTTTGCAAATGTATATAACTTATAGTATGCAAGCAACTGCCAGTTTTGTAATAGGTGCCATACAGTATGCGTTAGGTTAGGGATAGTGAGCTCTTGACTTGATGAAGTTTTCTTTGTGACTTCCCTGTGAGCTCTTTTAAATGATTAATTTTAGAACATATGCGATATTTCATCATGGTCTTGGCATCACCACATCATTTCATATGTGTTAAATGATAATAGTACATGTGGCCTCGTATACACAAGCCTTTAAAAGACTTACAAAGAATTGAGTGTTTTCTTTTATGACATCATTGTTTTTAATTCTTCACACTCAATTCTTTGCAGGCTGATTCAAGAACTACTTTGTTCTCTCAATGTATATTCTTTTGTTTTTTCCATACAATACATTACTGTGAGAGAAGACTATATAACCAGCCTGGACTCATACCTGGTCTGAGGTGCATTCCTTAGGCTAATAAAGCAAAATTTCTGTTTGCTGTAAGGTCTAGAACTTGTTTTGGAAAGCTGACATTTGAAAACGTAACAAAATGATTTACAATTGCTAAAATTTCAAAATCATGGTAAATTTGTGATTCCCTAAAACATGGGAAAGAGAAACAAGGAGTAGTTTATAGTTTAATGAAACTGGATTAAAACAGTGATTTAAAAAAAAAAAGAAAACTAAGTAAGATTACTTTATATTTTTATTTCAACCAAATATGTTTTGACATTTCCTTTTCTCTCTATCACAAACAACCTCATAATTGTCCAGAAATAACAGTCAGAATTATCCTCACTGATGGGACGCTGCAGTAGATGAAACTGTCAGCTGAAGCCAGTCCCCAGGTCACTGGGGCCAGGTGAGGCTGTGCTGGAGAAAAGCCGGGCCTGGCCCACAGGCACTGGGCGATTGTGAGCTGCCAACAGTGGGAGGAAGGTGGCAACTTTGGAGAAAACAAGAGTTGTGTGAGGCCTGCGTGATAGGACCCTGTTAAAAAATTACTGAGAAACCCAAAATAAGATTCGACTAAATGAAGAATAATATGTTTTGAATGGAAAGGCTTTTAGTTTTACAAAGATATCATTTGTCCTTGATGAAAACATCAGAGATATTCTTGGAAACATTGTATAAAATGATTCTAAAATTTATTTGTAAGAAGTGTAATGATTATGAACTTGTAAGGACATTTCTACAAAGAGTCATGAGGATGGTTCCAGAATTGTACAAGTCACCTCATCTCTTTCTCAGGTGTGAGTCGCTGAACCAGAGCCTGCTGCTGTAGGCAGGCAGATGCTCATCTGTTTTCTGGTGCCCTCATTTTTTCTTTCCCTTTGCCAAATAGATATTCTGAATGATATGGAGGATCTCTTCATTTAGCGGAGTAAACAGTTTGCAAGGAGGTAATGACAAGGCAGTTCAGTAATTCTTACAAAAGTAAGAAAAAAGCTCTTTTGGAACACAGGATGGGGAGACCAATTTCACTTTTCAACTTGGTGTTGAAATTCTCTTGGACCAAAACAAATATGAAATTTTAAATGTCTGATGTCAGTTTTCAGAGGGAATAAAGTTATAGAATAAGAAAAATAAACAACGTCCTTAGATATTAAGCAATTGATAATTCATCTTCTCTTGTTAACAGTCATGTCTTGACATGGTGGCTTTTTTAGTTTTATAATTTGCTTGTTTTCTCCTTAGGATTTTGCAGGTTAATTCCTCACACACGTTCACCAGGTACTTGGACAATATATTTTGAAGGTGCAGATTATGAAAGTCACTTTCTGCGTGAGAACACAGAACTGGCAAGTATTGTGAGAATGCTGGATGGACTGTGACGTGACGTGTGTTCCTTAGGACTTGAAGATTTGGCAAAAATTCCTTCCTTGCTTACACTGAGTATTTTGATAGGAAAATTTTAAAATCACCTTTAAATACTGATTTTATTCAAAAATCTTAAAACCATGATTTATATATTTTTTCCCCAAGCCATGTCTATACAGTTTCCTCTATAAACAAGGGCACTTTTCAAAGTAAAGAATACTTATGCACACAGTAATACCACTCTTAATTTTGATGCGTACCTTAAAAACATATTAATATGATAGCTTTAACAGATTTTATTAGAAAAACATTTTTCTTTGGTAAAAATGTTTTATTCTTTTATAGTTAGTTCTGTCTTATCTTGCATGTATATCAAATCATTTACTAATATTTTGTATCTTTTTGAAGGAGTGGTAAATCCCAGTATTTCCTAGCTTCATACATCTTAAAGAAAAATTTTTATAATATTAAATTCAAGGTAATTAATTTATTTTGCCTTCCAGGCATACTTTAGATTTGTGATAGCCATCTCCAAAAATTGAATTAATTGATGATTGCTCTATTACATCGAATATTTGATCACTTTTAACTACTGATAAAGTGAATACACCCTTAATTACTTTTTATTGACTTTATTAACTGCTGTTTGTCAAATTCCAAATAACAGCAGCAACTTCTGATGACCAGATTTTATGGAAAAACAAGGACCTTCTTAGATAGAATCACTATTTCATTTTCTTAGTTTATTCTCAGATTCCTCAGATTTCAGATCTTGAGTTTTTAAAAAATTCTGTTGTTACCTAATACATTTTCTTTAAAGTATTTTCTCCCAGGCTTCAGTTATTTTCCTTCTAAATTAAAAAGCCACCTGTATAATTACCACTTCTTGATAGTGGCCTTCATGCTTATGTGTGCGTTTAATTAGTTAGGTTCTCCTTGAGTGTATGTGCGCTGTTAATTTTCTTCTTTAATTTTGTTTACTCTTTGGTATGGGGAATGACATGCATATAACATGTAACTGCAATGAATGATTTAACTTTCTCATTGTTTTACGGGTCTGTTCAAGAGCTGGCCTGCCTTGCTGGTTGTGACTTGGTCACTCAGGCTCCACTTTGTGGCAGAGTGCTTTGCATGCTGCAGCCTGAACCGCACAGCTGCTTCGCTGTTGCTGTTCAGAGTAACGTGACTGGTGTTTTCCCAAGAGACACAGGGGTTGGGTCACCTTCATTATGACTGTTTTTTGTTGTATTCCCCATAGACAGCGTAAAATAAGTTTAAATTCCTTCTTTGAAAAGAAAAAGTGGGGTAATCTATTTTGAAAGGTAATAAAGTAAAAACTAAATTTTGTCTTTATGATTAGGTTTTCTAACCTGATAGTAATGGACATTTAATTTTGTTTTATAAGCTAAGTTCTTCAAATAGCATTTATGACTAGATTCATCTTCAAGACTTGAGTCAGTAGCATCGGTGCTTAGTTTAGCCAGATTAATGCAGGAAGAGTATTTTTATTGTTGTTGTTGAAGGGGTGGGGAATTGTGCGGAGGGGTGCTCAGTTGCCTTGTTTATTTTTGTTGAGAGAGTCTCACTCTGCCACCCTGGGTAGAGTGCAGTGGTGTCATTGCAGCTCGCGGCAGCCTCCAAGTCCTGGGCACTAAGCGATCCCTCTTTCTCAGCCTCCCGGGTAGCTGGGACTACAGGTGTGTGCCGCAACACCTGGCTGGGTTTTATTTTATTTTTATTTTTACTTTCTTTTTGGTAGAGATAGGGTCCTACTCTTACTCAGGCTGGTCTTGAACTCTTGAGCTCAAGCAATCCTCCCACGTCAGCCTCCCAGAGTGCTAGGATTACAGGCGTGAGAGTGTCTATGTTTATGGCTTTTTTTTTTTCACCTTTCCTTTCCCCCGGTTTGCTTCTGTTTTCTTTCCCATTTACTGTAGTGAATGCGATCGACTAGATCATGAGTTGCCTAACCATATCAAAGCACTTCCATTTTAGTCATAAGATAAACCTTTCTTTTTTATCCTTTAGGCACAACCTCTTAGGAAAGAACCTGAAATAATCACGGTGACCCTGAAAAAACAGAATGGAATGGGCCTCAGCATTGTTGCAGCCAAGGTAGGGCAGAGTCGGTCACGAGAGAGTTGTCGACTGGTTCCTTAAGCATGAGTCAGTAGCTGGCCGGGGCCGGTCGCGTGGGAGTGCTTCTCCGCCTGTGTGTGCAGTGCGTGTTGAGTTCTGTTTGTGTGGGGGCGGAACGGAGCTGATGAATGAAGCTAGTGTGCTCCCTGGGCCCAATTAGTTGAGCAATGATCTCCTACTCTGAAAATGTAGCTGGCGTGAGTGACACCTTGAGATGGAGCAGCTGCTGCTCCCGAGGAATCAACTTGAAGGCATTGTCGCAACTCGATTAGCACAACGGGGAAAGAGAGCATCAGCACAGAAGAAAACTGTGCAGTGAGGACGGGCTCGGGTCTGCCAGTCGCCACGGCGGGCACTGGACACGCTGGGCAGGCCACGGTGTGTGTAAGAATTGGCAGCGCCCTCGTTACGCGGCAGGTTTCTGCTTCCCGTCTCCAGGTGTTCCCTTCCAGCAGGAGCTCACGAGCTCCTTAGCTTAGGAGCACTCTTCACCTCGGCTGTCTGTGGCTCTGGTGGGGACTGCCTGCCAGACCACCCTCCCAGAACTCAGTGTTCGGGTCCCTTTGCCCACTGGTTTGTGGCAGGCTGTGATCTTTTCTTTCAGTTGAAAGAAATGAATATTGTGGGTCTTTGAGTCACTTATTAAGCCTCTTCTACTGTGTAGATACTCGGTTGTTTACTCATCATGAATTTTAGCTTTGCATCAAATTTAGATATTTTCAATGGAATGAACTTTTTTTTAGGTAATATTCAGTAACTAATATTTCAGTTAGCTTTGCTAATATTTTGCTTAAAATTTAACACTTCAGCAACTAAAATTTTTATCTGTGTTCCTATCTTTAGGGAATATATGAAAAGCTAGCATATATTATGTAGTAATATGATAGTAGTGCCTTCTGAATTGCACACTGTTAATGTGCTTTGAGAAATATTTTTAAATTGATAATAGTCAAAAATTTTGGTTTGTATTTCCTCTATGCCAGAATTATATTACCCTGAGTATTGACTGGGAATAAATGGACTACTCATTGAAACCCTGCCATCCCCATTGCCTAGGGAACTGCGAGTCCTAAAGGCTTGCACTGAAGGCTTTCCCCTCCACCCTCTGATTTCTAAGGGCCCTCTGGAACGAGGGCGTGGAGGCAGCCGCGCAGTCAGTGTGGTGCAAACAAACGTGCAGGGGAGAAAAGTGTGTGGGCCGGGCTCTTACATGGGAGCGAGGTAGTGAGCTCACCACTGGTCTGATGAGTACACAGGCTCTTCCTGACCTGGGATTTTGCGTCTCCCATTCCCTTGTGCTACTTCTAAAAAACGTGGCTTCCATGTCCTTCTTTCCGGTGACTTCCCTGGCAGCACGCCCTGCTCACCACCGTCCTCCACGTTGGGCACTTTCACCACTGGGATGAGGTCACTGGGTGTTTGACGCCCTTTTCCCTGTTAGCCCGACTCTGTGTCGCACCTTCACTGTAGCACACCGCTCCCCAACAGTCACTGGCACGTGGTAGGCAAAAAATAGTTGTTGAAAAAAACGAATAAAGGAATAAATAAGAGCAATTTTTTAGAGTGGGTATTTGATTTGCTGTTATGCATGTCAGTTAATTTATTTAATAAATTACTAACTGTATTAGAAAAACACTCACTGAGTTAGCTATGAGGAAAATTTGTTGTCCATAATCTTAGTCATAATAAGACAGATGCCTGTGAAACAATACGTGGCTAAGATCCATAAAACTTTACTTCGAGTATTTGAAAGAAGTGGGTTGTGGAAGGCATCATGGAAGAACTGGAATTTCAGCTAGTCCTTGGAACAAAAGTCGTTGGAAAAAAGGAACAAGGGAGGTCTGCTGTGGGTGGAGTGATAACACACGCAAGGACAGAGCAGACGAGTCCCATGCCTGCCATGTTTGGGTGAGACCTTCATCCTGGGGGAGAGTTGCATAAGGAGGGCGGTGCTCATTAGCTTAAAACTCCTGATTGACAGGTTGTGCTTTATCTTGTAGGTACCGCAAAGAAATAAGAGTTTGGAACAAAAGAGGAACACGATGACACTGACATTTTAGGAGGCTTTATTTGGGTATGGCGTGCAGGATTAGTTAGAAGAACCCAGGACTAAAGATGGGTGTTGGTTTAGGAGTCAGGTGGGGGATCCTTAGTCCTTTTAGAAGGTGAGTTGAAAGTACTGTGTAGGGAACAGTAGGAGCAATTCACATGGGGTTCACCTGCGATAGGTGGAAGGTGGTCCAGAGCCCCTCTGCCCACCTCACAGTCCAGGATTTCTGCACACTCCTGATCAAGGTCGTGTGCATGGGCCTCGTTTCCAGGCTGTGGAATTTAATGAATCCACAGTGTAGAACGTTTGGAAATGTGAAAGGGAAAGTGTCAGCCATGGAATTAATTTTCTTCTTTGCTCATCACTGAGTCAGCACCCATTGTCAGGGAGAAAGTACTAGGAACAAAAATTACTCCATGGTACGCAGACAGGGGAAATTTGACCTCCATGTTTTCTGTTATGTTGTGCTGTAATCTTATTTCAGATGCTTGTCTTGCTTGAGATTTGAGGAGTGTGGGGCTTCCATTATCAGAATTTCCATCTTTTCCAGTTTAAAAAAAAAACTCTTTCAGTACAAAACTGCTTGTTTTTCTGTAGATTAGAGTCTGATTTAGTTCAGCAGTCTTTCAGAGTTTTGCTCTTCTCCGTGGTGTGATATCCTGACATGTAAAGGAACCGGCATTACCTTGCAGCACGGAGGGAGGAGTGGAGCTCGGGGTTCACTAGGGCACTCCCTCCCCTTACCAGCTGTCCTCTGGTGGCTTTTTCTCTGTTGACCTCTGTCCTTGCTGGCTGTCAGGTGGACCATTAGGGTGACAGGCCAAACTGAAAGTCACAGTGGAGCCTTTATTCATTTACTGCAGCAGAGCAGGCATGAGTAGATGCATAGAATCCTCTCACTTCCAGCACTCCCCCATCCCCCAAGGCTCTGCCTATTTGTGGACAGGGAGGCAGAGGGGAAGGGGTGAGAGGGAGGCAGAGGGGAAGTACCAGACGCCAGGTGAGGGATGCTGGGCTGGCTGAGCTGCCGCTGCTGCTTTCTCCAGAGGTCCCAGCGGCTGTGCCTGAGTCCCCCCAGCGCGGTGGACCCCTGCTGCCTGTGCCGGTTCCACCTGGCCTCTGTCTGCCTGTTCATCCATGCTGCTGCCCACACATGTCCTTACTTGTTTTTAGCTCCTTGCATGTGGCTACCTCTTTCACCCCCAGCCTCTGCTGACCCCTCCTCCTCTGTGAGCTGTGTGTCCTTTTTGCATTTGCTGACATACAAGGAAACGTCAGAAGAAAATGCAGTCTTCGCTTGACATCTTCAACAGAAAGAAGCTTTGTCATAAAAATAAAATTACTATGGAATTCTTGTTATTACAAAAGTATTTGTTATTTGCGATAAGAAGATACAGTAGGTATTGGTATAGCACAATTACTGATTTCCATTAGTCTAACATTATTGAGGAGTCCTTAGGGGTTAGCTTCATGGTATATAGTAGTTTTAAGACTGGGTCCTTTTTATTTGATTAGAATTAGAATAAACTTAATATAAAGGGAGTGGCTAGTTGTTAAAATAATATTTCAGAAGAGAATATTGAGAGCTATTGTGTGAAAAGTAAGGGTATAATTTTTCACTTTTAATCTTTAAATCTCTAGAGCTTTTTTTTCTTATTTCCTATAATAAGAAATTTTAAAATATTTGTAGAAAAGACTGGAAAATAATTATTAGTATTTCTATCTGGGATATAAGATTACAGAATTGGGTCTTAATGGGGCATAATAACACAGGATTAGACAGATACAAATCAAAGGGGATGGGCTTTATACCAGCTGAAGCCAGACTGGAAATGTGGCCAATGCGCACGTCTACACTGGACCTGCAAACTCGTGACTCGTAAATTAAATGCGCTCTCCTTCCCTCCCCTGCCCCAAATCACTCAGACAACAGTTCTTCCCCGGGAAGAGCAGGGCTGCAGTGGCTGTCCCTTCAAAGCAGGCACTTCAAAAGGCAGAGAGCCCTGCAGAGGTGGAGCACCTGCCCTGCTGGGCATCCCCACTTCACGTTTCCTGAGCCAGGTGAGAGGAGAGGGAGGGGCTGCAGAGGACCTGCTCCCCTCTTCCCTGTGGACACAGACCCTGCGTCCCTTTTCTAAAGGGGAGGGATCATCCCTAACATGTAGATGATTTTTACTTTGTGTTTTTGGTCTTTTCAGATATTTTCCACAGTGAATACAGTGTGTGTATAAAATGAATATAAATAATAGTGTGTGTGTAAATAATTGTGTATAAAAAATAGTGTGTATAAATTTAAAACTGGAAGAAAGAAAAGGGAGTTCAGATTTAGTCCTGAAATGGTTAATTCATCAGCTTATAAAAGAGATATATTGAGACTAAGTATGGATTTGACACTCACAAAAGTTACCCTTTACCTAGTAAAAGTTTCCTTCTCCCTCCAAAAATACGTAATCCAAGGCACCACTTTATCTTAACAGTACATGCTCGTGATACCTTGAGAGATGAGACCAAAAATGTGGATGAGGAATGACATCACGGATCATTGTGTGTTCAAGGGTGTCTGCTGAGTGTCTAAACTCTGGTGCAGAGTGGAGGTCAGGGAAGTCTGCTCTGAGGGTGAGCGTGCGGTGGCCAACTAGAAGGTGGTGGTGGAGCGCTGTAAGCCAGCGTGGGGGAGCCATGCGAGGTATGTGGAGAAGCAGGTGCGACCAGATCATGGAGCAGTGTCGACAGCCTTTGTGCAAGGGGCCAGACTAGATACCGTCTACTTCGTGGGCCTCATGGGCTCTGTTGCCTTGAGTAATTGTACTCTGATGGCAACCACAGGGCAGTTGGTGGCTGAGCATGGCTGTGTACTAATAAAACTTTATTTATGAGAACAAGCCTTGTGACAGTGGGTCTGGACAGAGCTGGGGGTTTTATTATA